GAAGGTCTCAAGTTCTGATGCAGGCTCTCCTTCCCTTTTTTTATCCAGGAACACATTTCCGTTTCTTGTTTGTTTCATTTTGCCAACTTCCTATTTGTGACATTACCCGACTGACTCAACTCTTTTTGCTACTGTCTCCTCATATACTAAAAACTTGCTATGTTAGAATTGATAGTCCACTCATATATAATTTTTTCAATCAGTCTACACCTTTGCAAAACTTTGTCAAAGCTTTATTTCACTGTCTTCCGTCAAAAACTTTCAGGGAATATGTGTAGCTGCCAAGATCAGTTACACTAAGTTTCAGTTTGACTTTTTTTTTCTCCTTATATAATATGGATCATGTTTTTGGTCTAAGTAAGTGCTCATCAGGAGTTCCAGTCTTTGGGAGACACCAGAGAAATTTACTGGTCTGGTGATAAAGTATAGTATAAATGGAAAATTTATTATGATCGGTTCTGACGGGAAACTGAACGTGGTAATTTTTCCTCCTCGATTTTTGTTATTCATGGAAGCTTGAAAAACTTGTCCAAAAGTGTACCGGTACGGTGTGTTTTTAGAATGTTGTAAATCTTTGACAATTTTGCATTTTTCTCATAATTGTGTTTTGGTCCTGGATTGCTTCATAAAGTGCAAAGTATAATGTTTCTCTGGCAAAGTTTTAACCTGAAACCTATGAAATGTTTACAACATAATGTTCACATTTTTTTTGTGCGTAAAAAGTTGAGCCCGAGGCATACTGACCTCAATGTAGGTGATTTCAAAAGATAACGGCTTGTCTGGCTACTGATCGCAGAAAAAAAATCAGCAAGAAGTAGGAAGGGGGAAAAAAAGAAATATTATATAATCTGGACATTAGAATTTAGAAGACGTTAAAATTTAGAACCCCTCTGATTTCTTCTTCTTGAACTTGTGTACATGACATTACTGTCTGTAGCGTACGGCCAACAATTCACCCACACTTTTGTGTACATAGCTATAATATAGCTATGATATTATCATGTTTTACAGTATGCAATGAGTAGTAAGAGTGGTGTGTCCATGTGAAATATATCCAAAAAATGTATGGTGGTTCTAGGAGATTGCTGGGGTGTGGGAGTGTAAATTAATGCTTTTTTTAACCATGTTGAAGATGATCTTTTGCACCTCTAGTTAATATTTTGGTGTGGTTTTGGTGTCTGACATACATACATGAATATAGAAAGTCAAATTTGAATGTGTGATGTATGTCTGTATACCCAGGTTGCTTTCTCGATGCTGTTGTGAGTTGTTTGAGTAGACAAGGAAGGAGAGAGAAACAAAAAATTTGTGACACTTTGACTTTGTCTATGCTGAACATGCACAATGCAAGTGCAAGTTGTTGTGGAATAATAAAATCTTTCTAAAATCTTCTCTATCTTTTTATCCCTTTGCCCTGAGTCTGTCTTGGTGGACATAAGTTCAAAGATCACAGAATGTTCGTTGCTGCAATTCGGTGAAGATGAACTTTGTTGTGGGTTTGCTTGTTTTGATTCCTCTCTCAGGTCTGTGTTTCTCTCTCCTCAAACATTTCCTCTGCTCTGTGAAAGACTTCGTCATACGGTACCTCTTTTTTCAAAATAGCGTGTAGTCAGGAGTCTCACACTTAGCTGTCAGTTTGTTTCATGATGCTTGTGTGAAGTCCAGCACGTCATGTAAATGTAAACATAATGAATTCTGTGAAATTCCAATTCCAATTGGTTGCTTTTAAGCACAAGGGGGCTATCCCGAAAAATGCTGTTTAGAGAAAATCGAAGGTAAAGTTTTTGCCCCTTGTTCAACTTCTTTAAAAGACAAGGAGAGTTTTCTCTATTTATACCAAACGAATATACACACCAATGAATCCAAACTTCTACAGGTAGGGCAATGCCCACTTTTGGTGTAGGTCAATACTTCTGGAAACCCCCGAAATCTGAGTTACCCTGTTTGTCCTTAAAAGCGACCAATTGTGATTGTCACTGTAATTGTCCGGTCAAGTTTTGTAGGATTCCAGTCCACCGACAAAACCGAGGTTTGAACCGTTTCGTGTCCATGTTTTTGTTTCTTTCTGTCTGCCATTTTTATGTCAATGTGCTTCTCTTTACTCAAGGTGTAGACTCGCCTCTGGACAATTGGGTCCGTTTAAATCGAACGCTGTAGTTAAAAAAACAGCGGTAAACTGAAGGGAAAAAATCAGAATACAACAACCTTCCTAAACTGAAAACTTTGCTAAGCTGAAAGAACAAAATCTTGACGTTGTGCAGATTTCGGTTTAATTGACCACCACTGTATAAAATTTTTAAATTAATTTATCACCTTTGGGGGTGGGAGGGGGGGGGGGGTGTCGTTACCGTACTTGAAATCTACCAATTTACTGCCATGTGTGTGTTGTTGCTCTTATGGACTTTGGTTGTTTTATTGCAGATATAAATCACATACCATAATGATAATCATGTTTCATAGGTCAGGTTTGCTCATGACTTAAAGAAAAATAAATCTGCCCACTTTGTGTGATGAGAAGTTAATTCAGCTTTTTTTATTTTGTGTGTATTTTGACCGCATTATATGCCATTGTATTGTGAAAAATGACCTATATGACAGAATCTGGTGTGGATTGTTCCTTCGTTCCTACCAAAAGAACCATGGTCTTTATCTTCCCTCCTCCTTTTTTTTGTGTGCTTGTTACTCTCTTATAAACAACACCTCCTCTAATCTTTGGTACTTGTATATGAGCTTATTTGTTGCAAGTGCTGTAAAACACTTACTAAAACAAAGGAGACTTAAACTGAGCAAGGGATTTGTGTTTTGTCTTTTAGGATTTGTTACCAAGTTCAAAAGAAGAGGTGTGGGTGGTTGGCGGGTGCTCTGGTGTAGTTTGCTTCTTCTTTCCTATCAAACGTCTATCGTCCTTATCTCCCCTCCTTCTTTTTTGTGTTTGTTACTCTCTTGTAACACCTCTAATCTTCTGGCGCTCATATGACCTTATGCAGTTGTGAGCGCCGTAAAACCTCTACTCTACTAAAACAAAAAGAAGAGGCACCGGTGTCTGTGGTACCGGTATAGCGGATAGGTTATTCATCGTTACGCGCAGGAGACCCAAGTCTAATTCCAGATTGGGGGAATTTTTATCGAGCCTGTTGGTTTTTCTACTGCCTAGGTTGGCTGTTGCAGGCAGGGTCAGAAGTCTGCTTCCTAAATTATCTAAATTGTGGTGATACGGATGAAAAAACACCTACATAAAAGAAAATTCAAGAGAAGCATCGTTCATAAGGGTATTAATGGAAAACAAATAAAATTGCTCTTCTTCTGTTGTGGGTACCAGCCATAAAAGTACAATTAAGGGGGTGTAGCTATGGTCAGCACCCAAATGCTATAGTTTTTGGTCTAATGCTTGCTTTTCTGCATCAACGGGGGTGACATAGTACAAAAAAAGGTTACCAAGCAAAAAATTCAAGATTTTAGCCATAATAATCTCGAGCCATCAAAAATAAAGGATTGATTCAGCATTTTTAAAACCAATTTTATATTTTGTCAATCATCAACACTCATCAAGATAGAAGCCTAATATTTGGCATGGCGATTACTGTTGGTAGGTAGAACAACCTTACAGAGCCAAATTTGAATTTTCTGTACTGACTTGTGAGCCTTACAGTCCTTGTTATGCACTACATTCAGGTCTCCAATGTTTTAAGATTTTGTAAAATAAAAAAGGATTAAAACTCCAAATGTGTACCATAAACAGCAAAAATGCTTCTGTAAAGTTATAGAGAAATGTGTATAAAAGATTGTGTCCAAATGTGAAACAATTCTGACAGTAACTTTCTGAGATCTACTCAAAATAGTGTTGCAACCTGGTCAGATAAACAATTCTGAGAAAACTGCAAAGAGAGATAATTTTTGGTGAAGATTTTCCTACATTGCTACCTCTCTTAAATGCATTTTCCAGCTATTTCTAAGTTTGATTAAGGAATTAGGCTTCTAAAGATGAGTCCTTGATATTGATATCTATCAAGATACTCCAAAATCCGAAAACTGATATTTTTTCAAAATTTTTACTGATCTGACCAGTGGATCCCCTTAATGAACAACATTGTAGTAGGTTTCAACATTTTTATTTTTATTGCAAATTGTTTAGAGGACAGGCCTAGAAACTGCAATAATAACAACAATAATAATGGGAATTTATATGTGCCTAATCACGAGAAGTGCTGTATATATAGAATTATCACTCAACTTGAATGACAAATCAAAAGAGAAAATGCATATTATATGAGACCATTTAACAACAGACACACACACACACACACATGATGACTCCCAGATCCACACACATTGTTGCATACATAATTTTTTGGCAGAGGATAGTGTTGTTCTCTTTTTGAACCACTTTATTTCTCAAGAACCCTACTTAAATTATCTCTCTCTCACAAAACAAGCCTACTGTATCTTGCTCCCTCTTTCTCTCTTTCTTTCCAAACACACCTACTGTTTCTCTCCTCTCTCTCTCTCTCCAAACACACCTACTGTCTCTCTCTCTCTCCCCCTCTCTCTCCAAACACACCTATTGTCTGTTTGTCTCTCTCTGTCTATCTCTCTCTGTCCAAACACACCTACTGTCTCTTTCCCTCTCCCTCTTTCTCCAAACACACCTACCGTCTCTCTCTCTCTCTCTCTCTCTCTCCAAACACACCTACCGTCTCTCTCTCTCTCCAAACACACCTACCGTCTCTCTCTCTCTCCAAACGCACCTACTATCTCTCTCTCTCTCTCTCCAAACACACTTACTGTCTCTCTCTCTCTCTCTCTCTCTCCAAACACACCCACTGTCTCTCTCTCTCTCTCCAAACACACCTACTGTCTGTCTGCCTGTCTCCAAACGCACCTACTATCTCTCTCTAAACACCGACTGTCTCTCTCTCTCTCCACAAGTGTGAGGTTTGTGTCCCACTCAGACTCTGGAGGCACTCACACAGTTCAGCCAGTGACGTCATTGATCGAGACCCGCACAGTTCAGCCAGTGACGTCATTGAGACCCGCACAGTTCAGCCAGTGATGTCATTGAGACCCGCACAGTTCAGCCAGTGACGTCATTGAGACCAGCACAGTTCCGCCAGTGACGTCATTGATCGAGACCCGCACAGTTCAGCCAGTGACGTCATTGAGACCAGCACAGTTCAGCCAGTGATGTCATTTAGACCCGCACAGTTCAGCCAGTGATGTCATTGATCGAGACCCGCACAGTTCAGCCAGTGATGTCATTGAGACCAGCCCAGCACATTTCTAGTTCAGCCAATGACGAGAAGACAGCTCAAGATTTTCCCTTGTGACTAGAGAAAAACTGGGTGGAGAAAAGAAACATTGTTATTGCATCACATCAAACTAAGAATTAAGTGGCAGGATAGAATAAGAAATGAAGAGATGTGGGAAAGGACAGGACAAAAGGATATATAGAAGAAGTAGAAATAGGATAAAGAAAGTGGCGATGGATGGGACACACCTTAAGAGAGCCCAGCAGAAACATCACAAGACAGTCACTGCAGTGGAACCCACAAGGAGCACGAGGCAGGGGTAGGCCACGGGAAACAAGGAGGAGATGCGGAGATGCGTGGAAAGGGACATGAGAGTGAAATGAAGTTCACTTGGAACGAGCTGGTAAGGATGGCCCAGGACAGAGATAAATGGAAGGAGCTTGTATGTGGCCTATACCCTGCCAGGGGTGAAAGGCATTGATGATGATGATGATCACATCAAACTATGCTACAAGTTTGTACGGATTTGTTAACATCATGTGTATGTTGCATCATGTGGCTTCATCATGCTGAATGGGTGGTTGGAAGGTGTCATTATGTAATGTCAAGAACATGGGAGGAGGAGGATGTCAGATAACGAACTGAAATTTAAAATGAGTAAGCTATCTATATGTCTATCTGAGAGAGTCAGAGAGATATTCTGAAGTTTAAAAAAAAATAATAATGCATTTATAAAGTGCATACCCCCTCTCAACAGCAAGCTCTATGAGTTTTACACAATATTATTACCTCAGCAGACCCCATAACACTCCGAAACATTCTCGTCTTCCCGGGAAGCACACAGTGTAAGTTAAGTAAGTAGCAGATTAAGCGCTCAAACATTAACAAGCTGAAAAGATCTTTCGCTGTCTATAGCTGGGTACAAATTCTCGCTTGGGTGAAATGAGGAAAATTCGTGTAAAGTGCCTTAACCAAGGAAACAAAGTTGGGCCCGTCATGGGATTCAAACCCATGACCTTACGGCAGCGAGTCCAAGAGCCTAACCACTAGGCCACCGCCGTTACGTGAGGTAGAAAAGGTAAGAGTCAAGAGTGATGGTACAGCCACTCTAACTCGTGTCCATTACGGTCAGGGATGTGAGTCTTCCGGCTTTTTCCGTTTTTTCCAGCCGACTTGCCATTTGGACCCCAGCTTTAAACAAAATACTATAAACAATACATATTAATAGAGATTATTTGTTGTAATAGAGGGAAAGAAAGAAACATAATTTAGTCTCACTGTACTGTATTCTTATTTCAGTCAGTGTGCGTGCGCACCATATATTTTCCAGCTTTTTTTTCCAAACCTGTCTACATCCCTGTACGGTACCTTAGGCACGGCTTGCATTAGAGTGGCGAACTTCTCGGCTCGCTTCAGGTGCTGACTGATCCAGGTGGGCAGTTTGGAGCTCACGTTGACTTTGAGGTAGCGCTGATCCAAGAGCAAGATGGCGGCATAGTCTTCACGGTGACGGATGGCACGGCCTGCACAAAACCACAAAACTTTCTGAGAAATATCGCTCATGATTATTGTTCTAGAGTTCTTAGTAAAGATAGATTCAGAGCTGCTCTCCAAAAACATTTGGTTTCACATTATCAGACAACTTTGAAGTGAAATTGTGAAATAATAGCTAATCACAACTACTCAGTGTAAGACTCAACATTACTTTCCAATATTGGTGCATGGCAGTCAAACACTAATCAGTCATAAAGAATCTACTGTATCTTATCATTCTCCTTTCACCCAAGACAAAGAAGATCAAGAACTCCTGAAAAATTGAGTAGAGTAGGAAAAATGAAAAACCAAAAAAAAAGTCAAGTTGTATATGATAAAAAACCAAGTCTTTGCAACTCATGAAGAGCACTATTCAAGATAGATGGGTATTAAAACAAAAAATCTAAAGCAAAACGAATGAACAAGATTTAATCAAGATCCCAATAATTCTCTATATTTGCCCAAAAATTGATGAGCACCTAACTCCACACATCACGACAAAATACATGTACACGTAATGACAAACCTTGTGTCTATATATAAGAACACCGTGTAAGATTGAGAAAGCATGAGGTTTTTTGTTTTTTTAATAAATTTTTTTTAACCCTCGAGCTTTTGTGTTTAGTAGTTCCAACAAAATGTGCAGCAGTTTTTGGAATTTGACATTAGCTGTTAGTCTTAATAGAGTAAACACATAGGAGAATGTTTTAAATATAAATTTTATAAATAAATGAAAATTGAAATACATAAATAAAATATGTTATTCATTTTTATAACGTATTGGTAAATTACAAATTACACACCCAAGTGTTACAGCAACTGGTGATAGTACATGTACATGGAGTAGTTACGTTCGCACAAAGTCTCATACTAAACTATAATGATGGTGACATTGTCAGTATTAGTAGCCTAACTACTGGACCAAGAAGAGTAGGTAGAGGGGAATAGATAAGAGACAAAGAAAGCGCGAGTTACCTATGGACTGGTTGACGGCTTTCATACACAAGTTCTCGTAGTGGACTTGACCTGCCTGTCTGCCGGCCGGGTCACGAGGCTGGGGGAGAGAGCAGAAACTGTGTACATGTACACCGTTCAATATATATACGTCAGTATTTTGTCAGGTGCGCTGACCAAACGAGCTACTTCTCGGATTTTGCCTCTATGGAAATAGCTATGGGAAATTCATAGGTTCAGTGTGAACAATCTATTTGTATGAAATGATGACAAAACATAATACGCACAGTTCAACCAATGCGTGATTTTGAGTCTTCTGCGTTCGACCTATCCGTGTTATACTGTATACATATATGTCAGGTGAGTTGACAAAATGAGTAACCTCTTGGATATAGGCCCTAAGGAAATGGCTATGTGAAAGTCATAGGTTTTTTGTTTTTTTTGGTAAGTGTTTTACTGCACTCGCAACTGCATAAAGTCATATGAGCGCGATTTATAGAGGCTTAGTTTGTACAATTTATTGTATGAAATAATTTTAAAACGTACCAAAACGGTATTAGACTTGAAGAAAATGGCATTGGTTGTTAATCTACAAATTTGATCCCAGTGTCGATTTTCAGTCGATATCTTTATTCGTGGATTGCGAAAAATATTTCATTGTGCCACTCACATTATAATTCAGTAGCTGTCTTACACATTCAAAATGACAAAACCTGCAGTGATTCTCTCTCTCTCCGTCTCAGTCTCTCTCTCACTCACTTTCATATGCACACATACACACACGCATGCACACACACCTCTCGAGCAGAGAGGAAAGTTCAACACTTACAAAGTTGGCGTTGAGATAACTCATTTTCTCCTTGAGCTCAGGAGACTGTATGTTGGGGTACGGCAGTCCTACCATCACCACACACCTGGGTCACAGAGGTCAGGGGTCATTCATGGTTCATGGAGGTCAGGATTGTGGGATACAGAGGTCAGGGTAATTCATTTATGGTTCATGGAGGTCAATATTGGGGGTTAGAGGTCAGGGTCGTTCATGGTTTATTAAAGTCAGGGTCATGGTTCATGGAGGTCAGGATCATGAGTAACAAAGGTCAGGGACATGAAATTTATGTAAGTGTGAGAAAGCACTAAACTGTCTCTGCATGTTCGTATTGTACATCCTTTCAAATGCAAATTGGGGCTATTTGCGGACAAGGCAAACTTCAGTACATTAGCTATGCATTAATTATTTAATCTTGCCCCCAACAACACACACACACACACACACACACACACACACACACACACACACACACACACACACCTGCCCAGATCATCCGAGAAGTTGATTCCCTCACTCATCTTGCCTCCGACCACACACACACACACAAACACACACCTGCCCAGATCATCAGAAAAGTTGATTCCCTCACTCATCTTGCCCCTCGACCGCACACACACACACAAACACACACACACACACACACCTGCCCAGATCATCAGAGAAGTTGATTCCCTCACTCATCTTGCCCCCGACCACACACAGCAAGAGGGCCCCTGTCAGTGAGCCAGGCCAGGAACTGCAGCGCTGTCGGATAAACAGGACGAGGTTATGTGTCTACATTGTCAGATACACTACGAATGTGACAAAAACAAAGCAGTATGACAAAAAACAAAGCAGTGAGACTATGAATGTAACAAAAAAAAAGCAATATAACGACAAGAACAAAGCAATATGACAAAAAAACAAAGCAATTTTATGAATTGGACAAAAAACAAAGCAATTTAAGACAAAAACAAAGCAATGCAACAAAAACAAAATGGGTGACAAAATCAAAGCAATAAAACAAAACAATATAACAAAAACAAAGCAATAAAACAAAACAATATAACAAAAACAAAGCAATAAAACAAAACAATATAACAAAAACAAAACAATATAACAAAAACAAAGAAATACTACTAGATCTATGAATGGTACAAAAACAAAGCACTTTTATGAATGTGACAACAAAATCAAAGCAATATCATTATATGACAAAAAACCCAAATCAACATAAAGTGACAAAAACAAAGCAGTATGACAAAAACAAAACAAGGCCGACAAACTCACCTTGATACACTCGGCATAGTCCGCCAACACCTGGTCTGCTAGACCACTCCGCCGTGGTTCTCGGAACACCTGTGGGGGAGGGGGGGGGT